TCCTCGGGCTGCTGGGCTGATGGCCTTCCTCGGCCCCCTCCTCCAGCCGCCTGTGATGCTGCCAGCCCTCGTGGCCCCGTGGCCCCACGATGCCCCACAGCCCTGCGTCCAGCGTGGACGAGGAACGCCACAGTGCCAGCGAGTGTCCCGAGGGGGGCTCGGAGTCCGACAGCTCCCCAGACGGGCCCGGGAGAGGCCCCCGGGGGACCCGGGGCCGGGGCAGCGGGGTGCCTGTTAGCCTGGCCTCCCTGCGAGGCCTGCAGGGCCGGTCCATGTCTGTCCCCGACGACGCTCACTTCAGCATGATGGTCTTCAGGATTGGGATCCCGGATCTGCACCAGACGGTGAGTGACTGCGGGGCTCAGGAGGACTGAGCCGGCACGGAGGGGGGTGGGCGCGGAGTGGGTGCTGGGTGCTCTCCCAGGAAGGCTCCTTGTCTGCACCCCAGCAGCCCCCCACCTGCTCCCCACCCCAGCTCAGGCTCCACCCTGGCCCCTGACACACCTTGCCCTGGCCTGCCCCTCCCCCACCAGAAATGCCTGCGCTTCAACCCCGACGCCACTATCTGGACGGCCAAGCAGCAGGTGCTGTGTGCCTTGAGCGAGAGCCTGCAGGACGTCCTCAATTATGGCCTGTTCCAGCCGGCCACCTCGGGCCGGGACGCCAACTTCCTGGAGGAGGAGAGGTTGCTGAGAGAGTACCCCCAATCCTTTGAGAAGGGGGTGCCCTACCTGGAGGTGAGGCCCACAGCCTTCCCACCCTTCATTGACTAGAGGAGTACCCCTCAACACACCCTCCAGTCCCCATCTCGTCTTGTTTCCCTGGCGGCCCCTTTTTATCTAAGATCTGAGCACGGGGAAACCTACTGGGTGATTTCGGATTTCAGTGACCTCGCTCAAGCCACTTCCCCACTCCAAGCGTCTCCTAACCCACCAAACGGAATGGGGGAGTCCCGATTACAGGGATGGGGACAGAGATCAAAAGGTCTTGCAAACGATAGATGTTCTAGAACATTCACTGTTCATCCTGCTTCTTCTCGATAACCATTGCAGTCTACATACCCCACAAGAGCCTGGCAATCTCAGAAAAGCCAGCCACCACCCCTCTGTCCACCCAGCTAAGACTCCACGGGTCTCTCCAACCCTTCCCCTCGAAGCTGAGCTGACCCCTGGCTCAGAAGGGGCCCGGAAGTAGGGGGCAGGCCCTGCTCCCCCAACTTCTCCTCCCCAGGCTCGTGATTCTGAGTATGTGTGTGTCTCCTCCCACCCGGCCCCCGGCTTCAGTTTCGATACAAGACCCGAGTTTACAAACAGACCAACTTGGATGAGAAGCAGCTGGCCAAGTTGCACACGAAGGTGAGAGAATGAGGCTTGGATGGGTTCTTGGCGCTGTCTCCCCAGAACCCTGTCTTCAACCCAGCACTCTCCCCAGAACCCCCTCCTCAACTCTCCATGTCTTCTCAACAACTCTCTGCATTCCCCACCCAGCCCACCTATTCCTTTCTCAGGACCCCTCACTTAACTTGGGGTGCCCCCTGCTGTTGGGGGCAACCTAAAGCCCCCATTCCCCCTCGTGTGCTCATGCATTGCCATTGAGTTGATTCTGACTCACAGCACCCCTATAGGACAGAACTGCCCCACAGGGTTTCCAAAACTGTCAATCTTTACGGAAGCAGACTGCCACATCTTTCTCCAGTGGAGTGGCCGGTGGGTTCCCACAGCTGACCTTTCAGTCTGCAGCTGAGCACTTAACCACTGCACCACCAGGCTCTTCTCCCCGTCATGAGCCCTTCTTACTTCCTTGTTCCACTGCTCATCCCTCTGTCCAGTCCCCCATTGCCTGGCCCCCTTCATTTTCATCCTCTGACTATCCCTTCTCATCTCCTTCCATGTATTATTCAGGGCCCCTTCCCCTGTCCCCGGCCTGTGACCCTGACACCCTGTATCTCTATGCTTAGGGGCCATTGGGACATGCCCTGCAATCCTCCAATCCCATCCCCCAAATCTCACCAAATCCAAGGGCTCACTTCCCAACCCAAGCCATATCTACCCCACTGCCTCGTTCCCCAGTCGTCCACTTACGTCCCCCTTGGCTCCCCTGATATCCAAGAGCAATGGAGGGGGGAGCTCCTTTGGTCAGAGGTGACATGAAGGGGTCTTGACATTTGGGAAGAGAGGCCCTGCCCCACTCCCCTCACACCACACATCTCACCTCTTCGTTCTCCTGAGTGTCCCGTTGCCCTGGAACTATGCTCACTCTCCCACGGGCAGAGCTGCTGCCCACGTGGCAGGCCTGACACATGTCGGCTTTCAGAGACTTAGTACCAAACAGGAAGTGTAACCTTACTTTATGAGAATAAGATGTTAATAATTTTTATATGGATCGAATGTTGAAACAGTGATATTTTGGATCTTGTGGGTTAAATATCAAACCCATTGCTGTTGAGTCAATTCCAACTCAACAGCGCCCCTAGAGGACAGAGTGGAACTGCCCACAGGGTCTCCAAGGCTATCAATCTTCACAGTGAATAGACTGCCACATCTTTTCCCAGCGGAGCAGCTGGTGGGTTCAAACCTCTGACCTTTTGCTTAGTAGCTGGGCACTTAACCTCTGTGTGCCAGGGCTCTTTGGTTCAATACCAAAGACATTAAAATCCATTTCAATAAAATGATTTCTCGTTCCTTTTCTTAAGGTGGCTACTAGGCCCCCAGCACGCACACTCTGTCACACACCACGCACACATTTACACACTCACACTCTGTCACACACCACGCACACATTTACACACTCACACACACACACACTCACGCACACAACACACACCCATTGCTATTCTCCTCCCTTGGCCTCTCTCTCTCCTGTTCCTCGTTTGCCTTTTCTTCTTCACAACCCCCGGTTGTTCCTTTGTGGTTGAAAATAGTCTGTCTGCATGCTCCATTCATGTCCCCAGAACAAAGGCCTTTTCCATAGATTGCCAGATAAGCACATTTTAAAGGACACCATCCACTCTGTGGGAGAACAATGAGGCAGTTAAAGATAGACAGCCTTGGAGACCATACAGGGCAGTTCCACTGTGTCCTCTAGGGGCACTGTGAGTAGGAATTGACTGGTTTGGGCTTTGCTTTTGTGAAGACTGACAGCCTTGGAGACCCTGTGGTGCAGTTCCACTCTGTCCTCTAGGGGCGCTGTGAGTCGGAATCGATTGGACAGCAGTGGGTTTGGTTTGGGCTTGGCTTCTGTTGATTGGAATGTATTTCCCTCTGGAAGTGATCCCCGTTGTGGGGGTGGCAGCCATTGAGTGGCTTCTAATTGCTGGCGCCCCTGCGCGTCAGAGTCCTGTGCCCCGTAGGGCTCCCAGTGGCCGAGATTTCAGAAGTCGATTCCAGGCTTTCTTCAGTCCTCCCCTGGCTGGCCTCAAACCACCAACCTTCCCGTCTTGTCTTTACCCGTGTCTCAGACGGGGTTGAAGAAGTTTCTGGAGTATGTGCAGCTCGGGACGTCCGACAAGGTGGCACGGCTACTGGACAAGGGGCTGGACCCCAATTATCATGACTCGGATTCCGGAGGTAGGTAGGGGGCTGGGGCTTGGGGTGCGGACGGTGTGGCCGGGAAACTGGGGAGCAGAGCTCGTGGCCAAGCCGAGCCCAGGGAATGAGGGGTGCGCGTGACTGGGTTCCCCCCCTCACCCGCCAGAGACCCCCTTGACGCTGGCTGCGCAGACTGAAGGATCCGTGGAGGTGATCCGAACCCTGTGCCTGGGCGGGGCCCACATCGACTTCCGGGCCCGGGATGGCATGACGGCGTTGCACAAAGCTGCATGTGCCCGCCATTGCCTGGCGCTCACGGTAAAGTTGCGAGACCCCCAGACACGCTTTCCCAGACCCCCCACCAACTTCCCACAGACCCCCTTGCCCTGCCCTTGGCCTGTGACCCTGACACCCAGTTTCTCTATGCTTGGCGCCATTTCAGACCCACCCTGCAGTCTCCAAATAGCCTCCCCCAGCTCTCAGCAAATCAGGGATCTCTCCCTCACTCCCAGCCATCTGTCCTCCCTACCTTGCAGCCCAGCCGTCAGCTCATGTCCTATGTCTGCAAGAGCAAAGCGCCCTGCGTTCCTGTCCTTCCTTCCCCTTAAGACCTTCCCGTTTGCCCCCCGGACCCCTCTCTCCACGAGCCACAGGGTTTCCATTCCCCGTCCGTGGCCTGCTCTCTCTCTCCCACTTTCTCTCTTTGTCTTTGGTGCTCCTCAAACCCTGGTTCTGTCTTTTGGGTTGGAAATAAGTCCTCCGTCATGCACCCTCTGTACAAAGCCACTTTCCACAGACCGCCAGGTAGCCCCACAAGTTGCTGGCTCCCCCATGTGTGTCTGAGTATAAAACGGCACTCCCATTTTTAAGTGGCTGATTTTTTTCAAAGTAGATTGCCAGACCTTTTTTTTTCGAGGCGCCTCTGGGTAGATTCAAACCCCCAGCCCTTTGGTTAGCAGCCGAGTGCGTTAGCTGTTCGCATCACACGGCAGGTCCGTCAGCTAGAACCAGTTGACCAGTTGCCATGGAGGCAGCTCCGACTCCTGGCACCCCCGTGAGTATCAGAGGAGAACTGGGCTCCCTAGGGTTTGCAATGGCTGATTTTTTTGCAAGTAGATCGACAAGCCTCTCTTCCGAGGCACTTTTTCTCCACGTGAGTCAGAGGCCCTCTCTCAGCCGCCCAGGGTCACCCACCCTCCTGGGCCCACCCCCTGCGACAGCTGACCCCCCCAACTCATCCCCCTCCTGTCTGCTCTCAGGCACCTACCCAGGGCACAGCCTTCTCTCCCGAGAACTTCCCCATTCACTCTGACCTAACTCAACACAGCCTGCCTCTCTCCTTGGGGTGTAGACCCCTATTCTCATCCTTGTTAGATACAGTCGAGTCCATTCCAACTGGCAGTGACCCCCCGTCACAGAGTAGAGCTGCCCCACTGGGTTTTCCAGGCCGTAATCTTTATAAGAAAAGGCGCTCTGGTGACACAGTGCCTAAGGCATGTATTTGACTGCTCACCAGAAGGTTGGTGGTTCAAACCCACCAGGCACTCCTCAGAAGGAAGACGGGGCAATCCACTTCCACAAAGATTTACTGCCTTGGAAACCCAGAGGGGGTCGCTGTGAGTCAGAGTGAACTCAATGGCAGTGGGTTTGTTTTTCCTTTAATCTATATGAGTCTTTCATCTGTGAGCTATTGGGTAGGTTTGAACCACCAACCTTGCAGTTGGTAGCCGAGGGCTTGACTGTTGAGCCATGATGGCTTCAGATCTTCCTCGTGTTCCCGTAAATACATTGCATCTGTGTCCCCAGATATAGACCTTCCATGGACACCCTGAAAACACCACCCCTCCACATGCAGCCCCCCAAACACTGGCCCTTACACATCCCAACATCTGTGCTTCCCAGCCAACCCCATCTCATCCCCCAAATACACTCCCTCCCCTCTCACATGCAGGTACAGCCCCCTGCTCAATACTGCCCCCTAAATACAATCCCGCTCCCCGTCACGCTCCCAAGCAAACCCCAAGTTGTTCATTGCTGTCCAGTTGACTCTGACTCAGCCACCCCAGACGTTAACAGACTAGGCTGGCCCCGTAGGGCTTTCTTGTTTGACATCTTTATGGAATCAAGTCACTAGGGCCTTTCTTGTGTGGTACAGCTGTGTGGGTTCAAACCCTTTAGGGTGACAGTCGGGTGCTTAACTGCTGGACCACTGTAGTTCCTTACAAACCCCATGAACCCACAAAATGCACAGTCAGCATTCAGAGACTTATTTACAAACACCCTTCCTCTCCCCAAGTCTGGGCCACTTGTCCTCTCTTCATACGTGTGCCAGTCCAGACTGACCCCCCAGAATACCTAGCTGTTGATAAATATCCCAGCTCACAAATGCTACAGGTTAATGGACCCTCTCCACCCCGCTCCAAACTCAAATCCCTCTTTTATCTATTGTTTTTTTAATAATTATATTTTTTGGTGAAAGTTTATACAGCAAATTAGGTTCCTACAAGGGCTCTGGGTTTTCATGTAACAATTTCCACACCTATGGGCCAAGGGGCTCTGGTGGTGTAATGGGTAAGGCATTGAGCTGCTGACCAAAAGGTCAGTGGTTCGAACCCACTAGGTGCTCCGCGGAAGAAAGATGAGGCAGTCGGCTTCTGTGAAGATGTATATGGAAACCCTGTGGTGCAGTTCCACTCTGTCCTCTAGGGGCGCTGTGGGTCAGAATGGACTCCATGGCAGTGGGTGTGGTTTGGGCTTTGCTTCT